TGATTTGAATCAGATTCAGATTGTGATTCGTTCTCTGTGACTCTCAGCGACTCCGGGACGTTTGATCGATCACCTGGAAAACACCAAAGGATTCAACCTGCGAGCGCTCAAGTATCTGGTGATGGACGAAGCTGACCGCATTCTCAACATGGACTTTGAGTCTGAGGTACACACACACACAGCTCTCAGCGTTTGACCAGCTGTGATGAATGCGGTTCAGTGTTTGTGCTGCTGATTGATCGATCAGTGACTCTTGCTGCAGGTCAGTAACTGTCACTGTGAACGAGTCGTTTGAGTCATTTGGTCCAAAAAACTGATTCACTTGGATCAATTAAACGGTTAGTTCTGTTTTATCCCCCATGAAAATAGTTGCAGTCAGAGGCAAAGTAACCAGTGATATTGATGCACCGATTGATTTAATGTGAATCAGTACTCGCTAGTACCGACGTAATTCATTTGGTACCCTTAAAAGTAATGAGTTCGGTACCCAACCCTATCAATAAGTGTTTAACCGCGAAAAGGTGTCAGTATAACAGCTTGTAAACAATGTCACGTAACCTCACATTTACCTGAAGAAAATAATATTAGTTGACCATACACTTGTTAGTCAACTAGAAATGAACTCTGGAGAGGGGCATTTCGCTAAATATATGCACTATATCCATTATAATTTTTACTGTTCTTCAATATTTAATTGATGTTTGAATAAATCTGTCAAGTTTTTATGACAGCCAACATTTAAAAAAAAACTAATTGCAGAAGAAATATAATTATGTAATTGTAAAGTTAGTATTATGATTTATTATTATAAAACTTAATTGAGTGTAATGAATGTAAGTGTATACAAATCAGTTAATTTTAACCCCTGATATTATGAAGTAGGACCAGCTGACTGTATGATGAATATTTTACAGCATTAGTTGAGAGAGTTTTCCTTGAAAATTTGCTATGTACTGTACCTGATATATATATATATATATATCCAAAATAATCAATATTGATTTGAATTGAATCTGAATCAAATTTAATCACAAAGTTTGTGTCAATACCCAGCCCTGATGTTAACATGGAGGGAATCTCTCTTCGTGAGAATGAACTAGTTTGGTCTGTTTCTGAAGACGCGTGATATAATGTAATGATCACTGAAGGTCTAATAACACTGTGATTGAGGTGTGTCTTCACCTGTCGCTGCTTGTATCTGTTGTTGCTGGATTTAAGCCTGTAATTAGGGATGCACGGTATTGGATTTTTGCCGATTTCAGATATGCCGATATTTTTCAACTCATTTTGACCGATACCGATATATTTCCTTTTGTTTGGAAACAACACCAAGGGCTCTATCATACACCCGGCGCAATGTGGCGCCAGGCGCGACGCCAGTGCTTTTTGCTAGTTTCAGCCCGACGCAGTTGTCATTTTCACGTCCTGCGCCACGTTGTTTAAATAGCAAATGCATTTGTGCCTCATGGGCGTGCTGGTCTGAAAACCAGGTGTGTTCAGGTGCATTGCTATTCTGAGGCAACTGAAATGGACTGCGCCACTGACCAACTAAAACCTGCTCTAAAGTCAATGGTGCAGTAGTTTTTTTGTTATTTAAAGAGCGCGTTAGTATTAGGGATGGGCATTCCAAGCAAAAATTATATTCGAAAATCGCTGGGTATTATTCGATTATTATTCGAAAATCGCACCCCTCGTTCACATGCTGCACGCACAAACACCCATAGACAGAGAGAGACGGGATTCACGCTTTCAATCTTCAAAAACATATTAATATAATGTTATACATAACCGAATGACGGCACTTATTAACATAGCAGTCCGTCGATTAGCATAAATCAACTGTTCATAAGGCTAGGACATTTCCATTCCAAAAAATGGAACCCCTAAAGGGAATAGATACGAGACGGGAGGAAAAATATACTTCAATATCTTCTGTCGCAATTATATCGTTGGGTAATTACACTGTATATAAACTGTGGGCATCAGGGAGCCGCTATTAATATGCGAGGCATTGAAATTGCTTTTGAACGCGCGCTTGCTTTTTACTTTCACTTTCGAGATTCGCGATCACACGTACGGAGCAGCACTCGCCAGTACTTACCACACATTTGACAAGATTAGGTGTTTGGCAGTGGTGCTCAGGATCTGTAAATCATTCGCCATCATCCTCAGTCATCTCTCCTTACTCTGTTCATGTGGTAAGTGAAATCTTATGTACTGTAATGTAACAGGCTACCGCTAGCAAGCGGATAACCATGTCCCTTTAATCATTCCGTAGAACGTGTTATTTGTTTTCCGCGCCTTTCTGAACACGGATTCAGCCACACCTCTAACCCAGTCGGGGGGGGGTTGTGGTCCGCACAGAGCTCTTATTTGACATCGTCCCAAGTTACTGTAACCGTCATATGCTACGCAAGTCTTTATTTTTTAAGACAATAATCGCACAACCTATTCGATTTTCTATAATTAAATCAACTAATTGAGTATTCTAAAATCGTGACCCATCCCTAGTTAGTATAGGCACACAAGCATGCCAAATGTTACAAATTAAATGATTACAATGTAAAAGATTATTAATGTGTAGACTACATAATGCCTACATGCCATAATGGGTAGTCATTGCATGTATCAGAATTAGGCTACCTGTTGGCCGTAAACAGAAGGAGTAATTGGCATTTTAGATTTAAAGGTGCCATAGAATGGAAAACTGTATTTACCTTGGCATAGTTGAATAATAACAGTTCTGTACATGGAAATGACATACCGTGAGCCTCAAACGCCATTGTTTCCTCCTCCTCATGTAAATCTCGTGCATGCAAAAGACCACTGAAAAACAGGTGAATCAGAACATAACACCGACTGTGACGTTACAGTCGGGATCACTAATAGTTACGCCCCCAACATTTGCATATACCCGCCCATGTTCTATGCCAGCCGCCAGCCGAACCTGCACAGGCGATTCATCAGAAGTTCTGCAGGTATTGTGAAGAAACAAGCGAGGATAATAGTTATGATCCAGGCTGTGCAGGGGATGTGATGTGCAGGGATGGTTGGTGTCTGTATTCAGAAAGGCACGGAAAACAAATAACCCGCGTTCTAATAAAATAACGCGAGCCACTAAAGGGACACGGTTAGCTGCTTGTTAGCTGCAGCCTGTTACATCACAGTACATAAGATTTCACTTACCACATGAACAGAGTAAGGAGAGATGACTGAGGATGATGGCGAATGATTTACAGATCCTGAGCACCACTGACAAGCATCTGATCTTGTAAAATGTGTGGTAAGTACTGCCGCTGTAGTTTACACAGAGCACGTGCGATCGCAAATCTCCAAAGTGAAAGTAAAAAGCCATTGTGCATTCGAAAGCAGATTCAATGCCCCGCATATTAATAGCGGCTCCCTGATGTCCGCACTTTATATACAGTATAATTACCCAACGATATAACTGCGAGAGAAAGTATTGAAATATATATTTTCCCTGTGTTTCCTTCCTGCTGTGTGAGCTACTGAAATGAGCCGCGCTGTGGAACAGCCAATCAGAGCAGAGCTCAACATTGAGCCGCACTGTGAAACAGCCAATCAGAGCAGAGCTCAACATTATTATTCATGAGCCTTCCAAATAAGGTAAAAACAGACCATTTCATTCCAGGGACAAATCCTAGGGTTGTAAATGGACATGTAAAACTGTTCCTGGAGATTTTTTGCCCTTACCTAAGCCACATACCTTCTATGTAGATATCAGAGAACAATTTAACATATTGTATCAATGTATTCTATGGCACCTTTAAATAAACAATGACGAAGTTATTTTATAATGACAGTACAATGAAGATTTGAAAATAAATAAACTATATTCAATCGCTGTATTTTTTTCCAGAAAGATGCAGTGGTAACCTTAAAGGATTAGTTCACTTTCAAATGAAAATTTCCTGATAATTTACTCACCCCCATGTCATCCAAGATGTTTGCGTCTTTCTTTCTTCAGTCGAAAAGAAATTAAGGTTTTTGATGAAAACATTCCAGAATTATTCACCTTATAGTGGACTTCAACGGCTACCAAACGGTTGAAGGTCAAAATTACAGTTTCAGTGCAGCTTCAAAGGGCTCTACAC